TATCTATATATATATATATATATATATATATATATATATAGATATATATATATATAGGTACCATATTTCCATTTATTCTTAATGAAATAATATTTATAAAAATGATTTTACAATGAAAAATGCATGTTGTCCAGTACGGATGTATCAACCTCTACGTGCTAAGCAATTGACTGTCGTGGAAAAAATAGAACAAGAAATGTATATGCCGCCGCCAATATAGAATCAACATCACGTCTTCGACCAAACAAATGAAAAGAGGCGTGGTTTATGCGATTTGTCTGTTCAACTGGAAACACCGGTGACGCGAATGTCTAATCACCAAAGCAGAAGAGCGGGCGTCCGTGTGGGTGAGATAGCGTGATTTAATTATCAGCGCAGATTATTTCAAAGGCGCAATTATTATTACAGTTAATCATTATTTTCACTGCGGCGTGCCAGATCAGGACCAGTAATGGTGGTGGAATGCGGACAAAAGACCGCCTCGAGTTGTTTTAAAAGCAGTGTAATACCCATTTCGCTTCCGCGGGGTAATAAAACTGACAGCTTATTGAACGCTCTCTTAATCTACGACGCATGTGACTGCATGCTTGAAGTCGTAATTTGCGTTTTGTGTTTCACAAATCATGTGCTTCACAGGAATATGTCGCATTCAGCTCCAATTTATTGCGGGCGGATACAACAAATGAAGAGTTAATATTCGGCTACACGGAGAATTCAATGAATCCCGACCACATTGAGGTTTTAAACAAACTCCGACTTCACATTGATCAAATCGTTTGTGTTAAAGGAAATATACAATACTTTTACTATTTTGAAAGTAATTTACTTAAAAATTAAATGATTATTAGAATAACTTTTCGAAGCGCTAGTTACACTCAGAACAATATTTTTGAATACTCAGTAATTGAGCTCTCTAAATAACCAGTAAATAAGGGCTATGGAAACAATAATTTTTTATTCTATTTGATCTCGTGATTAACCCTCAACCACTCTGACTGGGCTAAACTACCCAACCGGTTTTGTTTAAATTACTGGAAATTCATTTTAACCAATCGGTTATTGATTACCTCTTCGTAAAAGGATAAACAGTTTTGGTACATTTTTGCCAACGTTATTTAAACAGTTTTAAGAAGACGCAGAGGTTTATTGATATTGTTTCCTAGATGGATTCAAATATAATTTAACTGGCAAATCTATTTCACGTGTTATTAAACAATTCTCTTCTTCTTTCGCCCTTGGAAAAAGTTGATGTAAACAAACCCAAAGTATTCATCCTCCTTGCTCCGATTCTCAATCGCCGACTCCTCTCGCACTACATTCGGCTACGCGCGCTCTGTATAGCCAGTGATCGCTGGAAAAGCAAGTCCGACTGATGCAGAGTGTTAGGTGAATATTAATATTTCTAATATATTTTCAAACGCTTGCTAGTAAAACTAATCAAATAACTCTTAACAACCAGTTTGAAATTTTTTTGAATTTGAATGTCAATATTAAAATTATATTATTTTGACTGTATTAACTAATATTCACTCTTTAATCTCATACAAACTATTTTAGTTACGATCACTCTGCTTCAGGAAGAGGCTCAATTCTTCCATCTCTGAAGCAGATGATTCGGTGTTGGAAGAGGAACCTTCAATGATGACTACCTCGTCCACGACACTATCAATAAATTCATCTACTTCCCACATCCTCTGTTCCCCTTTAATATTGTCTATCTGCACAACACCAGCGAGACATTCTGAAAGAGCTAAAAGTGTTTTTGCAACGTTCAATACCTGACGCTATCCACCCCTCCGTAATAGTTTACTGGTGTGGTGTTTCACTCCGGAAGGACCTTCACCTCTCTCCGATATCATTAAGCAAACTGCATACGCTGCTCCGCTTCACTTTGCATGAGCATCCAGCGGGCGTGATCGAAACGACGCCTGTCATCAGTTCTTTAAAAGTCAACAGCTGAAGTTATTACTGCACGTGCGTGAGAGTTCAGTTGGCCTCTTGACTCTCACGGATTCATTTCATCCGCTAGAGCTTATTCGAAGCAATTGCTGGTCACATAACTGTCACCGATATCCATAATTTCTCTTTCGGAAGAGCAGGCGTGGGAGCAATGGTCTCCTTATTTTACAATCTCAGTTATAAATTGTATGTTTCCTCTGGAATTTTAACATTGTGAGAGAAATGAGCCTCTACATCGAAAACTATTTCCTTCTGTACATGAACACAACTGCGGCCGCATTGCAGAAACTAATGAACATGAGGCATCCAAAGCACGTGCTATTGTCTACTTCCACTTTTTTCTTAAGGTTATCGGAAAATACAAGAATACTCAAAGCACCGTACTCGAAGAAAAGCAATAGCCTTATTAACTTGTAGAGATATCAGTCATAAAACCTTCCTTTGTGTGAGTACGTGGTACGTAGCTTACGAAGCGGCTTTGGTATATTCCCTTTAACGTAGGCGTAGTATCTTTCGTGAGAATTCAATGTTGTATCGTGTGAGAATATCTACTAAATTCTATCAGGCCTGTATTGTTTAAATACATTGAGCGAAATGAAAAAAACCATTGTGGGATGTTCACTAGTATCGACAAATAAAATTGAAAGTGAAGTCAATCAAAATAATCTTCTTTGAAAAATCTAAATATTATCAAAAGAGACAAAGTCATAGTCAGTCATAGTCATAACTAAAACATCTATATTTTTATATAAAAAATTATTATCGTTGAAGTTGATCATTTCATATTTATCACATTCATACTTCCTGGATTATTTTTATTTCTCCAATTGAATTTTCAATGATCATCTGTAGATTATGTATATTGAAAATGGTTCTGCAAGTGTACGATGCTCCTTTGTGTATTTACATTTGTTTTACAATATTATACTATATTATATTTAGATTACTCATTTTCATTTACATTGAAATTGAAAGTTATTATTACTAAACTATACGTTGAAACAGTATAATAATCTAACTTATACAGATCAAAGTAAGTATCAATTTACGTATTTCTAATTTCCACCATCTCATTTCCATCCCACCTATTAACCTGATTAACATACGCACTTGAAAACGTAAAGATATCTTTTAAGTTTAAATTTAAATACCTAAGATTCTTTTAAGTATCTTATGCCTTAACTGTGTCTAATTCCCCCTTGTTTCAGTCCACTCCATGTCCGCACTGTGAGTCAGATCGCACGCAGACAAGGATCTCACCCAACCGAGGCGGAGGGTGCAGCGCAGCAAGCAGAGGGCATCGAGGTCTGAGTGGCTCACCGCAGGGGACTGAAGCGGGGAGGAAAGAGCAGAGGAGAGACGTGGTCGGGCGTCGCACCTAGGCACAGGGGCCCTGTCGCCGCCAGCGACACCGCCGAGCACAGGTTGGCTCACTGCACCCTCCCACCCCTCGAACTGAACCCAACCTCCTACCCCTCTGCATGCTGCCTTCCTCCCCCACTACACACCCCTTCACCCCCTGCAATCTCCCTCCCTCCTACTGGACAATCTTTCACATACCCACTTCACCCTTCCTCCTACCCCTACAGCACATTCCTCCCTACCCACTGCACACTCCTTCACATCTCCACTACACCCCCTCCCACCCCCTGCACACTCCCTCACTCCAACCAATGTACACTCCTTCACACCCCCACTTCACCCTCTCACCCATCCCCAGAGCACGCCCCCCAGATACCCATTTCGCCTCTTGCACCTGCTCACCCATAAGAGCTCACCTCCACTCCCAGACATATTTTTAATCCCACACCCTTCAAAATCCTTCCCCACCCGACTCACAGTCGCAATAATGCTCCCATCGCCACTAGCATGCCTACCTCTCTCTCTCGTACTCCACTCACATCCCGCGTACACCTCACTTTCATGCAACCCTCACTCTCCGCATTCATTCTCACACAACTTACACACGCTCTCGCTTCATTTCCCAACCCATCCCCTACTCTCACACCCACTCTCACCCCCATTTCTACCCAGCAACTCTTCCACACCACTCACACCTACAGCCCAACCCCATGCCCTTTCTTGCGCAATCCATCATCCCAAGGCACTTCGGCAAAATTCACTGCGTGTTTAACTGAATTTTGTATCTCCATGTTAGAACAATGAACTTGTAACTGCTAAGTTTCTAAATAATGAGAATAATGTGAATCACGTGACCTTTCGTCGCTCTGATATAACTCTATATCTATATATATTGTGACGTACCTGCAAAGCGGTACTGTTCACGACATTAATTTTGTAGAGACAGGTGTTTTTGCTCGTGAATGGACTTCTAGGGTATGTCATAAGAATTGAAAGACAACAGAATTATCAATTTTCAAACAAATAAACGTTTTATTGTTTAGATAACACAAAATAGAATAATATTTACAATCAAGTAATTCCTAGTTTGGTACCAAAACATGCAAATGAACTCAAATTTACGCGATACCTTAATCTTCAAGAATTGGTTGTTCCTTCTTGATGTTCTCCACGGCGGCGGCGGCGGCGGCGGCGGCAACCTTCGGCTCCCCTCGGAGCCCGTCGGATGGTCAACCTCCCCTCGGAGGCCTGCCTTTCCCCAGCTCTGCGCGACGGTTAACGAGTGCGCCCGAGCTCCACCCCCGGTCGTTATGAGTATAATACAAAACGGGTGCGAAATATTCAATATCGCTGTCCGTCGGTCTTTTGTTCTTTATTCCAGTTCTCCTTGGCTTCGCAAATACTCAGCTCAGCTTTGTCCTCTATCACACCAAATCTTTACATATGAATAGATTAATAACGCTCATTTATAGGATTGACCTTTTTAATTAATTTTATTATCCGCCGATTAGTAAATCTTCTACACATGAAACCCTATTAGTAATATTTGGTCCTGGTGTTATATTGTTACTAAAAGTAGTTATCTGAATTGCCAAGTAGCAAGATTAATCAATATTATATTAATTATTATATTATTATTGTCACACAGTCACTTTACGCACGCGGTCACAACTCTGACAAGTAGTGCACAGCGGTTCATTAGTTTCATTAAAACTATCACAGCTTCTAGCACTTATCTATTTCCAAGCCGTAAGAAATTGCCTGCAAGCAATAGCCAACTCTCTGGTTTCACTCCTAAATTTATTTATTCTATAATATAATGTCAATTTGCTAGCGAGCCCTTCCGTTCACCCTTCGAGCGTTTCCCCGCACTGTCGTTGCTGCGCCTCACCGGTCTCTAATTTTTCCTTGGCGTGGCGCACTAGTTTATCAAGATGTATTTTTAAATTCCAGAAGTTAATTTTTACTATAGAAACGCTCTTCGCTCTCTCCTCTCCTTCTCTCTCTCTCTCTCTCTCCTCTCTCTATATATATAATATATAATTATCATATATAATATATCATATATATATATATATTGAAACGGAGAAAAGTTTCTGTTTAATTAGAACAATTACAATGATCACCATATAAATTAAAATAAAAGAACTCGGAGTTAATCATCGCGCAGTAACGCCGCCGCCGCCGCCACAACGGTCAAATCGGGGGGAACAACGGAGAGGCGAGCGACAGTTAGTGGTGCGCGGCAGAGGCCTCGAGAGAGGTAGTTGAGCAGCCCAAAGGAACTGTGAGTCTCAGTGCTGCGTGGGGCTGGAAGAGAGTGGTTAGCCGTTGTAGAAGTGCATTCGACAGTCGCGCAGTTACGGTAAGGATTAACATCGTTAGGAGGTAGAACTTGGCCCAAAAAGACATGATTGAAAGATATTGGAATGCTGGAACGACGGTGCCGGTTTGGCAGTGGTGCAGAAGCGTCAGAATCACACGGCAATGTGTGGTCATTGAATATATAGATGTGTCGACCAGGTTTGATACGATACCATCATGATTAGATGCTGCGCAAAGAAGGATAAAAACCATAGAAGGAAGTGTCGCCGGGTGGGACCCGTCGGCACTACTTAGTCTGTATATACAGGGGCTTGACTGAGACATCGGGCATATCGTAAAACAGACACACGAATCAATCACGCGTCGTGCGTTCCAATACCCGTGAGACCTTGTTCACACGGCTGGGGTGGACCCTGGCGAATTCATCGTCGGTGTTACGTTGGGCTCGAGGAGTTGGTCGCCGAGGGAGGGGAATTCTCGGCGACTTCGGGGCAACGAAGATTGCCGAACACCCGTCGCCGTTGCCACGACGGCCCGTCGCCTCCAGAGTGCCGCTCACCGGTCGCCTCCAGGGGTTGGTTTTAAACAGTCAAGTTAGCGTATTGACCGTTAGGCGCTTGTTTTGCCAGGCCTGCGCATTGCATTTGTTAATACTATGGTAAGTGTGTTCTCTGATCATATATAATATTTGATGTGCAAAAGAATTTATAACATTTCTCTATCTGGCGCCAAATTCCCTGGAGCACCCATTCACAAACTGAAAATGTACTGTCCTGCATTATATTTGTCGTGAAAGTACCGGCTTCCCAGGTACGTCGAATATATATACTATTATATATATATATATATATATATACTATATTATATATTTGTGACGTACCTGGGAAGCGGTTTACTCTCACGACAAAAAGTTAATTTAATACCAGGGACAGATACATTTCGTGAATGGGCTTTCAGGGTTTGGCGCTGCATTGAAGATGATCATAAGAAATTCTTTTGTGCATTAAATATTTAATAATAGAAACACTCGTTACAAAGATTATTTACAAAACGCAACGCGCAAGGCCTTTGTAATAAGCGCACAACAACGCTACCTTAATGCTTTTAAACACCACCTGCGGCTGGATGCGAGGCGGGCCACCGTAGCAGCGCGCGGTCGTCTTCGGCAATCTTTCTCAATCTCGCGCGAATGTCTGCATCAGCATGGCCCGCTGCTGCATTAACCCGGGCGGAAATATAACACTAGTCGTCGCCACACGAATTCCTGTATTACATGTTTGATTTCCGTCCTGGGCGCACTTCCACTTCACTAATCATCTTGATATTAAACTACATCAAATCTAGTCTCTCACTTAACCCCCATATTCAATCCAAAACTGTTACTTAAACACCACCATAAATTTGTTTTATGCAGCACTGCCCCGTCCCGTGTTTCACTTCACGGCCTCTCCGCGCACACTCTCGCCAACGTCGCTCGCCCGCCGTCTACCCCCCGATTTGACCGTTGTGGTGGCGGCGCGTTACTACGCTGTCAACACAGAACTTATTTTAATTGCAATTAATTAATCAATTTTTATGTTATAATCTAGAAATATTCTTCGTATTTAATATATATATATATATATAATATATATATATAGATATATATATATAGTGGTGTGTGAGTGTGTGTGTGTTGGTGGTGTGTATTAAAACCAGACTGGGTCTCAAGATCTAGGATTAAAGAGAAATAGATTACTCAAACCTGGCGCGAGAGCGGAGGTGTTGATGGCGAGTGACCGCCACGTGGAAAAGCAGGATGAAAATAAATTGGTACCAGTACAATGATAATTACGCCATTACGAACCTGGTAACTGTTAATTTGGAAAAATGTTGAACACAGGCGTGTAAAATTGATTTGTTACCTTGTTAACGAG